ATTTATAGTTGTTGGACGAAGTCTATAGTCCAATAGTCCAAATTTTAATGGAATTGGAATGGACTAAGTCCATTAGTTCAATACTCCAATGGTCCAAAAGTCCATTAGTCCAAAAGGCCAACACTGCTAATTACACGGCCGTATAAATCTCAAGTATTCTTATTAGTAAATTCTGTTGATATATGATTATTATACATTAGCAGTAGTGGAGTATAGAGAGCTTATTTAAATTATGATCTTGATATAAGCTGTTCACTATATAAAATATATAATTATTTATGATTAATAATATTTAATCTAAATGGACAATTATTAAATGTATATTCATTCAAGAACTCACTTTCTGTGAATTGTCTAAATCAATTTGCAATTCTGCTTTATGGACTCGAAATAATTTTTAAGCTATTGCTAAGTTCTTTTAATTTAAAAATTGGTTTGATAATTTTTTTTATTTTTAACTTATGACCAAAAATGCTTAAAAAAAATTTATTAATAATAATTTGTAATATTACTTTTACAAAAGATTTTTGCTTGACCTTTGACGCAATAAAAAAATGAAATTGTTATGATAAAAATTGTAAAAGAAAACAAGAAGAAAACAGTAAAGGATAAATTGAAAGTCATAGAATAAGTGTAGAAAGTATAGATGAGGGACGAAGCCTCTTAATAATAATCGAACTCAGACGAAACTATATTGAGGAGGTTTCGGCAGGAATATATAGTAGAAGTTTATAATTATCTTGCATGTTACAGAACTGATCAATTGATGATATAAACTGGTTCAACGTCGAAATATTGATATCCATAATTAATATTTTGAGAAGAATAAATATATGAATCCATCGAATTTTCTTGCTGTAAATAACTTAAGTCATGAGAAGTGATATTATTTTCCACGAAAGAACCATATGCCACTTCTTGCGGATTGCCATAACTAAAATTGCTTTCCTGTGGATACATTTCTTCGGCTGCTGGCATATTATTAGATAAAAACGTACTAGTAGTATCTTCCACAGTTGATTCTAAGAGAGAAGAACCATACTTATTTTCCTCATCAGATTCTAAGAAAGTGACTTCATCTTCTATTTTTCTCGATTTTTTCTTAGGATGAAGGTCGCTGAGAGTTTTCATAAAAGAACCATCCTTATTGTTCTCTTTTTGTTTTCTCTTACGTTCTGGCTTTTTTTTTTTAGGATCAAATTGTCGAATTTCAAGTTCAGAAGTTTTATTGTGTCGTTCAAGTTCTTCCGAAAGAAGTTTATACTTCTTTTTGTAAGATTTTGGAACTTCTCTCCAAATATTGTGGATGTTTTTGAGGAAAACATCAAATTGATTTTCTTTTTTTCTTATTTTGATTTCTTTCTTTAAATCATTTTGAAAGAGAAAGAATGTATTTAAATTTTTTCCTTTGTGTTTATCCAATATTTCATTTACAGTGGAAATAGTACTTGTAATATAGACACTATCCGGTCCAAGTATCGAAATACTTTCTTCATTGTTAAGAAGAATAGTGAACATTTTATAAACATTTTTTTTTTTTTTTCAGAGGGTGATTTTATAATATAATTGGTGTTACATTCATTTTCTTTAAAAGTACATCTGAAGACATCAAAATTTATTATATAAAATTTAGACATGACTATTACCTAATATGTTAATGACATGTGTACCTTGTATTCTATTAGGGTTATCTTTTTTGGAAAGGAAACTAAAAGTCGAAATTAATTCTTTATCTATCTATATAATTTACACAGAATGAAAACACAAATAGAAAATAAAAAAAATAAAAAAAAATTTATCACTTCAACAAAAAAATGTAATATAAACATACTTCAGCATTAAAAAGTATTTCTTAAAGTTTTTGAATAATAACTAATATCAAAGGTTATATTTAAATTATTGGTAATTGATAATGTAGGCGTACTTTGTGCGACTCTTCGGAATAACAAAGGATTATATGTTAAAGGCATGACTAATACGACTCTTTGTCATAATTAAATAAATTGAAATTTTGCGCTTACACTTGAATTATTATAAAGTTATGAGATATGTCATGAGTGTAAATATTGATATGTCCAGAGGACTTAAATGAAATGTTCGCATGTTACTCATCGTGACCTGATAATTTCAAATTTGACTCTTTATATTATAATTCTAACTTTTTAGAATTTTTTAATTTGCCTTACTAATAATATCGTAGCTATACAACAAATTGTTGTCGGCCAACGTTTATCGCGATTTTTTGGTCGATGAATGATTTGAGATTTTTGTACAATTTCCTTTACAGCTCAAAAAAAAAAAATAAAGTTTACATCAATTCTACAAGATACTATTCAAATTAAGGTTTAATAAAACAAGAAATCAAACTATAAGTTATTAACTAAAAATAATAATATATGTTTAAAAATTTGAAAAGAACCCATCATATTCAACTTCAAAACCTCATTGAGATTTCGACTTATGTAAAATCTCATTCCGCCAACATTTAAAATGATTTTCGATTAAAATAATAAAAAATAACTTTAAGGTTTATAATTTATCGACATGTGTTTTAAATAATTTTATTGCGTTATAAAGGTGACAAATAGGATTTCACACAAACCAGGTTTGCTAGCAAATCATGACCGTCTCGCGATCGAGTTTGTACGTTTTTAAACTATTTGCGTACGATAACACTCAAAATATTAATTATATGAAACTATTTACCTTCGAAAGTTTTAAAAATTTTACTAAAAAAATGTATATACCTAGAACAGAAAGACAAACAATTTATAATTAACTTACAATTGACTTTCATCATATTTCAATCCTTTAATAATGACTTTAATGATACCATTGCTTGCATTGTAACAGGACTAATAAAAACAGTAAGAGATTGATTAATAACATTATTTTAGAATTATTTGATATAAATATTATTTTAAATTAAATGACCAAACCTTTGTATGTTTACACTTTTTGATATTTTTGAATACGCGCCTAAGTTATACGGTTTTTTCTCTTACTTTAAAATAATAACACAATTAGAAAAAAGGAAAGTGTTAAATTTGCTGAATGTATAAATGCTCACCAAAATTCACCGACTTCGTCTACAAACTCGAATTTCACTCAAGTCCAGAAGTTTTTTTTTTTTGTTCCAGTTCTTCCAAAAGAAGCTTATACTTTTTTATAATAGATTCTGGAACTTTCTTCCAAATAACAGAGATATTTTTGAAATCGTCAGATGGAGCTCTTTTTTCAAATTCTTTATTTAAATCAATTTGAAAGAGCAGGAATTCATTTAATGCATTTCCATTATAATCATTCAAAATTTCATCTGGAGAAGAAATTTTTATTTCAATGTAATTATTATTTTTACCAAGTATTGCGAAAGTATTATTGGTCAATGGAGCAATTTTAAAGGGCATATTCCCTGAGATAAATTGTTTACGGCTTTTAGACGTAATTTTTATCTATTTTTTATAATGAATGCCTTGTGTAACATATCAAAAAAATTTTCATTTTTTACCTAATATGTTAATCGTAAGGATTTTTATTTATATTATCCTCATAACCAATTATAAAGTTACTATCCATAGAATATTTATATTCCTTCCGACATAGATCATGAAATCGAAATTTTCGTTAAAATTGCGTTTTATTGGTCAGAATTTTGGCGTCACAAACGTAACAATAATTTTCGCAAAAGAAAATATTGGTTTTTTAATATATTTTTTAATTAATAATGTTTTGCTTGTACATACGCATGCACCGGATGGCTATTTTTATATTTGAAGATATGATAGATTAATTTTTAAGATTTCCCTAAAAAAAAAAATTTTGCCGACCACAAAAAAAATTTAAAAAATTTTTTTTCAAAGCTCCGTTTTAGGGTGTCCAGGATTTGTTGATCGTGATTTTTTAACGATTTTGACCTTTTTTTTGCGATTTTGGCGTGATCACGA